CGTGCCCCCAGGATTTCCTGGGTTCCCTTTCTAGGACTCGGAGGCCAGCTCACTGGTAGTGGAGCAGAAAGAAGGCTAGTGAGTGAAATCGTCTGAGTGGTGAAATCCCCTGGGTTGCTCCCTAGTTTGTCTTTGGAAGGGGCTCCAGGAAGGAAATGTGTTAACTTCTTGTGTGACTGTGTGTGTGAAAGAGACTTGGTTAGGAGAGTGAGTGAAACGAGCTATGAAAGCCATCAGTGGCCTGTCTGTGCACCAAAACAAAGGGAGGGAGTGCTTGCACTTGAAAAGCCCTCCTGCATTGCAGAACTTGTGTGGTTCAGTCCTGTGAGTCTGTGGCCACACTTAGAAAGGACAAAACAGATACTCTTGCGAAGGGAAACTCTCCTTTGGTCCAGGTGGGCCTGGGAGAGCTGGGAATCTCAGAGCCAGGCTGAGGAGTGAATGAGGCCGTTTTCTGGAACAGCACCCCACCCTTTGTTTGTCTTGAGTCGCTGGACAAGGGAATATCTAATGGTTATGGAAAATGCTAATACTAAACTAGCTGTTCTTAAGTGCATAATTCAGAGTTTTGATAAAGGTTTTGTGGGGGACTATGAAATAAAACTGCAACCAAAGATGCTTAAGAAACTTTGTGAGTTATCATGGTCTCAGCTAAGCCAGACTTGGCCCCCAGAAAAAAACTCTAGACAAAAGGAAAGTTATCTGCCTTTGTTTTGTTTACCCGAGACTTTGTCAACCTGGAGCCTTCTATGCTCTAGGAGCTGCTCAAACTTCTGCCCCGTAGTAATCAGTTGCTAGTAAAAATTATTTAGTTTTGGTCTTAGAACAATTGCTTTCTAAATCTGCTGTTTTCCCATGGTGAACTTGCCTCTCAGAAAATGTGACATCATTGCAGGCAAATCCCTGTGTTTCCCCTTTGGAGGAGGTCGAGCTGCCTCCCGCTCCCTGAGTTGCTAAGATTGAAGGTGTGGGGAGGGGGCCAAAAACCAAATTGTTTAGCTTTACTGCACTGGAGGGTGCACATGGAAAAACATGATGGGACTCAGAAAAGATAAAACAGGGCTTGCACTCAGATTAGAAAGAACTAAAATAAAAAAATAAATCTCTAATAGATTAAAATCAGGTTAAAAAACTCTGAAAGACAAAATAGAAAAAAGCACTGCAAGTCAGAAAAACTACAATTGTGTTTTACCAGACATCAAGAGATTTTTTGCAAGAAAAATCAAGTTAGAAATTTTAACTATTTGATAAATGTATCTTTGTTTCAATTAAATTAAGTTTAATTGGTGTTCTTAAAATCCTTCTTGTGCATTACAAATTCTTCAATTACAATTATAGGGTTAACTTGCTCTTTTCTGTACTTTGTTGATAAAAACTCAAGGTTAATACTATTCTACAGGAAGCCAGTCAAATTTTAAGATGTAACAATCTGAAGACAGGAAAAAAAAAAAGAGAACACTTTAAGATTTTAACAGCTAAAGTTTGCTATGAAAGGTTAATAATAAATGAGACAAAAATAAGAAAGATTTTATAATTTAATTGGTCACATACATTTGAATATATTACAGTTTCATAAATGGTCTTATATGTTTGTCTGTGTCCAATTGTTTGAAAAGTTTGTCCAATTATATTTTGATTAAAATGACAACAAGGATACTAATAAGGTTAATTTCTATAACCTGGTTTTATAAGTTAAAATTTTGTCAAGCTCATTAAGTATAAACTCAGGTCTAGATAGACTCCTGTTAATAATAAAAAAGGACAGCTACTCAAAAAAATGCTTTTGATACTTAATTAGATTAAATGTTATAAAGTTTCATACATAAAATTTATGATTATTTTTAATTTTTGGATGTACTAAATAAAAACTTCACAGGGTATTAAAAACTATTAATGCTGCTTCAGGAGGCAGGATATAAAGTTTATGCTGCTTGGAGATAAAAGGACTTAAAACAGATGAGAAAATTTTTGAGATAAAAGGTTTTTTACAGGATCTAGATTCTCTGTATATATGAACCTTTAAAGGGCCCCAAATGACAGTGATTATTATAGAGTAAAGAGCAAGAGTCAGCATTTAAACAGCTAAAACTAACTCTCTCTCTCTCTGCTGCCCCCTGTATCAGGGATCCTAAATGTGACCCAGCCTTTTAGTTTGTACCTGACTAAAAAAATCATACTGCTTTAAGGGTGCTCACTCAAGGAGTAGGCCCAGGGAATCAGCCAGTAGCATATTTATCTTAGAGTTTGGATCCAGCTGTGAAGGGATAGCTCCCTTGTTTATGAGCCCTGGAAGCTGCACAAAGCTGACCAGGTAACATTAGCAAAAATAATTTGTTCAGTTTCCCCATGCCTTTTAGAGCTATTAAATAACAAGACATTGATGGCTCTCAAATAGAGTCACATAATATGAGGCTCTCATCTGTGAGAATTTCCACCTATATTTTACTCCAGTTAAAACCTTAAACCCTGCTACTTTTTGCCCTCGGAACCTGGTCCCCTGAACACGACTGCCTCAGGGTCACTGACAAATTGTTCTCCAGTCATCCAGATCTGCAAAAAGACCCGCTGCCTGAGGCTGATTTCGTCCTGTTCAAGGATGAGAGCAGCTTCATGGAAAATGGGATACGCTATGTTGGCTATGCAGAGATGACTCAACATGAAGTGGTCCAAGCAGGACTCCTCCCCACTGGATGGTAAGCTCAGTGAGCAGAGCTGTGGGCACTCATACAGGCTCTCCAATGGGCAAAATAAAAAAGGGTAAATGCTTATGCAGATTCTTGTTTGCCACTTGGTGTATCTGTGGCAGTCTATACAAGTGTGGTCTTCTCACAGCAGAGGGCAAACTTATAAAAAATAAACAGAAGCTTTAGATGATTATACCCACCCCCTATAAAGGTTATAAATATGTGTTAGTATGGGTTTATACTTTTCTGGATGGCCTGAGGCCATCCCTATAAAAACAAAGAGGGCTTCAGAGATATACAAGATTTTATTAAAAAAAATAAAGAGAGACCCCTTTACGACCTATATGGAAAGGGCTATATGAGGTACTTATGGTTATTCCCACAGCTGTCAAGGTAGCTGAAGCTCAGCTACCACCACTCTAGAGTAAAATAGAATTCCACAGATTCCTACTCCAGGAGACAACGCACTCAAGGCCCTGCTCTCACCACACCGGAAGCTGGTGAGTCCACGCACGGCTGAAGAATGAAAACTACAATCAAGATATAGACTCGTATATTGTGTCAAACTGTTATGTGCTATTATGCTTTTGAATTAAGAGTTTATGAGCCTACAAAAGATCAAAATATGTGACCTTCATGTGCTCTGGGGATCCTAATCCCCAACTTATCTGTCTAAAAAGATGCCTTTACAAATTGCTGTGACCCCTTAGCTAAAAATTTTAAGTAAAATGATGAATCAAGGATTTGATTTGAGCCCCCAAATCAGTGGGGAATGTGGGACTCTAACCGCTATGTAACCCCTAGTTAGCCAGCATATAGCAGCACACATTTCTTTCTACCCAGCTCCAAGATAAAATTAAAACAGAGTGTATGGAAGCCCGGTACAGGCAAACAAGATAGCGACTCAAGGCCTCGTTAGAACAGAACAGCCTGAGGTCTGGAGTTGAAAGGCCAGGTGTACCGTATAGCTGACTCCTTTAGACAGATAACTGAAAACTGACCCCCTGACCCCTGGCCCACTTGCTGTACTTGCATTCCTCTTCCCTTGCCTTTAAAAAACTGTTCTAACCCCCGTGCTGTGCCTCTCTGAGCTGCTCAGTTTTGAGAGTGCCATCTGGCCAGACTAATAAAGGTCTGTTTACCAACAAGCCTGGTGTGTTCCTTCCTGGGTGAGTCTCATTCCTATGTCGAGCTCCTGGAGCCTCGCTGAGCTATAGGTCCCAGCATCTTGGAGCCCTTTGGGCTGTTCAAGGCTCCTGGAAGTAAGGCCCTGGGTCTTGCATCCGGAGCCATCGTTGGGCTACAGGGCTCAGCATCGTGAAGGCCCTTTTGGCTGTTCACACTCCTCAGAGTGGAAGTGAGACTTTAGATCTTACACTGGTGAGAAGAAACCCTCACACTTTTTGGGGGTCATAAAAATCTTCTGTGTTGACTTATGTGAGACCAGAAGAAAAATATTTTGTTTTTTCTAGAGAATATTCTATGTTTTTCTCTGCTTATGGTTCTTGATCATAGTACTTTCTCATCTTAAAACTTCAATTCTCTCTTCCCTATTCTGCTGTTCTCTGGTTTATCTACATTTATTATTCAAGATACTTCAAGGGCCGTCTGTTCTAGTGACCTTATCGTGATGCTTTCTGGCTGGGCTCGGATCCCATCATCATCTTCCTAAAGCCCCTTGTATATACCTTTCTTACTGTATTTTTTAAAAGTCGCAGTTACCTACTCAGGCCAGCCTTGCCCGAAAGACTTTAGGCTCCAAGGCAGGAATCTTGTCTTATGAATCTTTGTATCCCTTATGCCTATACAGTGCTTTACAGTAATACAATCTCCGTAAATAGTTATAGCCAGGGACTAATTTGAACTCCTTGTTGTAATATGAAATAAAATATGTCATCCTTTGTCACTTGGAAATTTCTTAGGGTACTAGTGAAGATTCATACATACTTGGAGCTTTCAAGAGGTTGACTTTTGGCATTTTGAAGTTGTAGAGCCCATTGTTATTTTTAATATCATAGAATTATATAAGAGGGAAATATGTAACCAAAGTGTGAGCATACTTCTACTGTATATTTACTACTGTATGAAAAACTTCAGTTTTCTATGCCATAGCCAAATTTGGTCTGCATCTATTAGAAGAGTAAGTCTTCTTTAATGAAATAAAGGATCATGAAACTTATTAAATAATGATATTCAATTCTTATTTTACTTGTAAAATTCTCTGGCTTAGGTATTTTGAATAAAGGTGAGCAATGTTATCTCAATTTTAAGTGTTGATATGATTAAGTCTAATATATTCTTTTTCCATTGGTTTAGGATGTTTCAGGCATTCAAAGAATGGTTCTGGTTGGAAAGTTTCTGGCTTCCCCCAACAATAAAGTGGTCAGATCTTGACGATCACGATGGACTCATCTTTGTCAAACCATCTCATTTGTATATGACAATTCCATATGCTTTTCTCTTGGTGATCATCAGATATTTCTTTGAAAAGTAAGTAGCATTTGTGTGTCTTCTCATTTCTCTTTGTTGTTCTAACCCTAGAATAATAACATTTTAGATTTCATTAGGTCCTTAATGATTCTCTTGTTCAGAAGTTGCCATTTATGGGTTACAAATTCACAGGGAGAACTGGTGTAACTAAAGGCACACAAAACATCATCAGGTTAGAGGATGATGAGAAAAAAATTAGATGCTTGGGTAACAGTATATTCTTTAGCTTTATAGTGAAGAGAATTGAGATCAAAACAGATTAAAGATCACAGAGCTTCTTAGTGTCAGGGGCAATGCAGTGCCCAGTTTCTTCCCTATACTGTGGTGTCTAACAGTGTATCCATATTCCCAGGGAGACAGACTTAGGGGAGTCTGTGACTTAGAGATGCACTATCATGCTAGAATGCGTATAAAATATCTCATTAAAGATGAAACTAAATATTGCTGCATTACATAATTTATTTAAAGATTTTATTACTACCCTTCTTTCTAAAGTATTAGGAAATCAAAGAAAAATATTAATTTGCTTTCTCAAAAAATAGTAATGTTCTTTTTCTTGAATTAATTTAGGTAGATACATCTTCCAATGTTTTTATTAAAATTATACTGGTGCTTTGATAACAGAAGATAAATGTTCATCTGTAGTCTCTGTAGTTCTCTGTTTCAAAAAACTCTTATTATCACATTAATTCATGTGGAGCAAAAAGAGTATTTGAATGTCAAGAGTTGGAAAAACTTAAGACAAACTCTGATAAAGATCATGTTGTCCAAGATTAACTGTAATACAGATCATATGTTTATGACCATTTGTAGGGTCTTTATCTTGAGAGTTAGTATGGCCAACTCTATTCTATGGACTTGCCAAAAGGTTTTGTAGAAATAACTTCACTAGGGCCAACGATGTGCTATTGCTATTGGGTGGAAAAGAAAGCCCGTGGTTGAGTACATTTGAAAATTTACTTCCTTTCTTAACAGTTAATTCTACTTTTTATTACACAGTTTAATTTGTCAAAGAGACATAAATAAAGTAGAATTTGCCACTGCTTGTCAAAATTAATAAATTACTCTATTACTATCCTGAAATAGTTGCTTTTCTTGCCCTGGATCTGGGGATCTTTGAATTTGGCATGTAGGCCCATTTCCTACCCACCATAGCAGATTTCTTCTTTTTTGGTGGGCAACTCCATTCTTCACATGAGAGTGAGCCAGAGCATTATTTTGGTTGCCAAAACAGCACAGCTGTGGAGGACCAACCTGTATGTGCTGATCTTGACTTTGCCAACAACTGTAAGGGAGAAATCCAGTACTCTTAATTCCTAGGACCATTCTTGCCTCTTTGTAAAGGAGTAAGCGTAATCTGTCTTGTATCTTCTTGTAACAAACTTGCAGTAATTCTTTCTTACCTTTTTCCATTCTGTGACACCACAGAAAACTGAGTTGCTCTGCTAATTTCCTATCTCTTTTAGCAATAGAAAGAAGGAATATTTAATACTGGAGAGAGATTATACTTTTTGAAATATGTTTATATTTTTCTAGGTCTTCTATTATCACTTACAGTACATTGAACCACTTATATCATAAGTGAAATATTACTTATATCTTGTACTTGATAAGAACTTATAGTTGAAGGAGTATATACCATCACAAGTGTATGTCTTGATCTGCAAGTGAAAATGAAAGATGAGTGACCTGCCAGGGTCACAGTTGTATTAATGAATAGATCTAGGACTTGAACCATGACACCAGGTCCAGGTTATTGATTTTGTTGGAATATTGTCTACTCTTTCAGTACTTTTTGGACTTTCACAGTGAAATATTCCTAATAGAAGAGAGAAAACTAATATCTCAGGGGAAAAAATATGTGACTCAAAGAGATGTTCACAAATATGAAATTCTGAACTATCTTTAAAGTTCACATAAATTTGACACATTTCAGCATATTCCATGATATATTAACCGCAAGAAATATTCTTTCTTTTGTATTAGACTGTACTTTTGCTACAACTTCTTATTCTGTGAATTGAGCAGGAATTGTGATTTGGTTGGCTCACTTTTTTCTTTTAGTTCTAGCAAAGGGCCATATAAGATCAAGAAGCAGTGTTCCCAGAAGAGTAAGAGTGGAGATGTAGAACTGATACAAAACAAAAAAGTGCATAATTTGAAAGTGACCCTCATTTGCTTTGTATGTAGGATTTCCTTTTCTTGCAGGTTAATTTGTGGCTTATGGTTTGATCTTTTTTTTTTTTCACAAGTTAAACAGTTTCTAATTAATTTGTTTTCTCTGTATTCTTTCATGTGTCTGAAATGAGATTTAAAGGAGATCTAAACTTCTCAGAAGTTTGACACTTATGGTATAATCATATCTCAGTGTGAATTATGGCCCCACAAGTCCAAGTCAGAGGTGGAGATGGTAAAATCAGAAAGTCACTTTTTCCTTTCACTTAACTGTACAAGGGCTAGACTCTCCACCTCTTCCATTTCCACTAGCACCATACAGTCATGAGGGGATAGAATGTCCCTCATTCTTCACAGAAGGCTAAGGGAGATGGAAGAACTCATTTACAGCAATTTTCATAAGTTGAAAATAATTGCTAAAGGCTGTTTCAGGTGGAAATAGTCTCAAAATCAGGACAGTAGTTTAAGTGTTATCTGAGTCTTGCATTGCTCTGGATTCTTTGTTCATGTAAGTAGAGCCTGCTGAATAAGTTTGCTCATAGAGCTTCTGATTTCTTAGGGTCTTGACTCAATCCTCTGCCAGTAGGCTATTGTATCTATTTTGGAGAATTATTTAAACTTAATATTCTTAATATCTGCATAGGGCTGCATTCCTTTTCTTCTATAAAAGAACACTGAAAATAAAGGGAATATAAACTTTTGTCATCAGGTAACTAACTGATGTGATACCTAGACAAAGCTCTCTCATGACTGAGTGGAGCTCTCTGAAAGCTTAGTTCTGTGATAGTTGCAGACTGAAGAGACTTGTTCCCTAGTAACTAAACTAACTTTGAACAGTTTACTGGGAGCAGAAGTTTACCAGTCATTTTTCTTCCTTTCAAACATTTCTTTTCTTATTCCACATCAACAAAATTAGAGCTCAGGCAAGTTAATCTCTAGTCCTTTTAGAGGTAAGACATAATTTTCCTCCTTCAATTTCCTCCTTCACATTATCAAATATTTATTGCACTTCTTTCTTCTTTTTTTAAAAGATTTTAATTAAGTGACTATTCATATTTATCTACATTTTTATTAAGTAAAGTGAATGAATGCCTTTCTAGATTTATTTGAAATGAAAGGATAGAATTGAATTAGATAACTGAATTTATTTACTTACCTTGTTCTATTAAAAATGTTATTTCTATTCCTGAAGTTAACAAAGGACCACATTTCTCTTTCTTGTTCAACAATTCATATATATGTTTGTGTACATATGTATATACACATACAAACACACACACATATATATGCATTCTATGGATATGTGTATTTATTCACATGTATATTTATTCATATGCTTATCTTTCAAATGACCCCTAGAAAGGAATGTTATATTTCATTTGGCTTTGAAATAAGTTTTATTCCATTACTACATATATCCTTGGTTCAATTCTGCTTTCCTTTTCTATGTTTCCCAATTTCTAACATCTGAGAAGATAGCATTGGGTGAGTATGATTAAGAATACTACCATATGAAACCATCCATTTTGTGCTATTCTAAAAATAATGGGTGTTTTCCTCAATAAAAAATTTCAGCTAGAAGATTAGATGAATGAACTAATTTTAATATTTATACAAAACACTGTCACATATATTTTTGGGGATTTAGTTAATTTTAAGTATGTCTTAGTTTTTGTTGGGGTGTTTTTAGACCTTCTGTGCCAAGGAGAAATTATTTAATCATATTCTTCAAATCATAAAAACAAAGCACAGCACAGTGTCATTGGTGTGTATAAGAACTTTATATGAATTAGTTTTTAAATTAGTTATCTTTTAGCTCCTTCCTTACTTCCATTCTCTTCTTTACTGTGTCCTTACATTTGATGGGCCTCTGTGACCCAGAAAAATGTACATTTTATTTATTTACATGTATTGTTAGTTGACACAAATGATATGGCACTAAAACTTAATTTTCATTAAAAAAAAATAAGTGGGGCCAGGGATTTAGCTCAGTGTTTTCGCTGCCTGCCTTGCAAGCAAAAGGGCCTGAGTTCAATCCCTGGTACCAAAAAAAAAAAAAAAGCATTTTGTATTGTGGTCTAGCCACATTGCTCTGTGTACATCTAGTGCATAATTAGCTTGTTTTTATGTCTCTGAAATGCATAGGCTGTTTCCAAAGGAACCTAGTCCATCTGGAAGTTGAACTGGCTTATACCTTTAATCACATTATCTGAGGAAATTTTCTACACAACTCCATGGATACAAAAAAATGAATTAGAGGGTTAAATGATTATTTATAATTTAAAGCAGAAACTCTATAATAAAGTACTACAGCAGACTGCTTGGTAGAAATTAGAGACTTTGTCAGAACTGAAGTAATAATAAGAACACATCAAAATTTTTAAAAATCAGTTTTATTTACTGATTTAATACAGTAAAATTCATCAAAATTTGATGCACTTTGACATATGTGTAGTCATGCAACCATCATGATATACATTTCAGTCAACCTAAACATCTCCTTTGCCCCTTGTTCAATTAATTCCTCTTTACCTACTGGGCCCTGGCAATAATTGGCCTGCTCTGTCACTGTAATTTAGTAATTTAGAGGATTTCCTATAAATAGAATCATATAGATTGTAGTCTTCTTTCACTTCTTTCACAAAAAATAATGCTTTTGAGGTTTTTTTTTCAGTTTTGGCTTGTGTCAGTGGTTCCTTACTATTACTGAATAGTTTTTCAAAATATGGGTGTAGCATAGCACAGTTTATTTGTACTTTTAACTAGTTGATGGAAATTTGTTTTATTTACAGTTTTGGGCTATTACAGATGAAGCTGCTGTGAACATCTTAGTACAAGGATACTTGGACACATGCTTTTGTCTCCCTTCAGAATGAGCTAAAATGTTTGCTCTTTAAAAGCCACACTGAGTGTGTATCCATGCCATGGGGCATTACTTGGCAATAAAAAGGAATGAACTAAATACAAATACACACTATCAGATGGGTGAACCTCAAAACATTATGGTCAGTGAAATAAGCCTCACACAAGTGACCATATACAGTATTGTGATTCTAATTATAGTAAATATCCAGAAAAGGCAAAGCTGTAAAGACAAAGTACATTAGAGGTTGCCTCCGGCAGGTTTGGGAAGAAATAAGGTTTAACAGTATATGCAGGAGAGATTACCCTGGGGTAATGGAAGTGTTCTAAGACTGATTAATTGTACTAGTTATATTCCCTAGTAAATTTACCAAAAAGTCATTGAATTACATACTTAAATTATGTGATGTATAAAAATGCCTTAATAATTACCTTTTAAAAGAGACATTTTAAATAAAATGAAAAGGCAAGCCACAAACTGGGAGAAGTCATATATAAAACATGTTTTATGAAGTACTTAAATTCAGATTACATGAAGAACTGTTGTAACGTGATAATAAATGAAGAAATACATAACGGTTTTAAAATGGAAAATGTGTAAATAGAAAATAAGCACATGAAAATCTGATCAACATCATTAATCATTAGGAAAATACAAATTAAAACCACAGTGTTCTAGGGATAGCAAAAATGTTAGAAGTAAGGATGTATGAAAATTCTTCCTCTATAAAAGTAACCAGAAGACCATAAAAAAATTATCAAAAAAATTAACTTTTTTATAATTCAGAATTAGCTTTAGGCTTGCAGCAATCTGGGGAGTGTTTTAAGAAAAGAATCTTGGGAAGACCAGCAAGCTTTGTGGCATTTAAGCTTGCCTTATTACTGTCTTTCTTCTCCACTTCTGTGGTAGCCTTGAAAAACCAACAGCCCACAAGTGCAGTGGAAACTGTCAGCCTGACAGCCACTGAAGGGAACAGAACAAAGCTGGCGCTCTTTCAGAGCACTGTCATTGGAGAATTGTCTTGGTACCTTCCCTGGAAGGACTACTAACAAGGCTGTCTTTATTAGAGCTGACTCAGAGCTCACTTGGTGAAAAAGCCTTTTCCCTAGGGGTAAACATTAGAGGAAATTGAATAGCTTCACAGCTCCTGGAGGTAATGGATAAAAATTGTTTCAAATCATAAACTTATCAAAAAGCTTAAAATGAAAAGCTGGGAAATGAAGTTGTCCAAAGAGGGGCTATAAAAAACACTCTGGCATATTCTTGGAAATCTGGGAGGCCACTTTTATTTGTAAAGATTTTAGCATGCCTAGGACTATGTTGATACTCAAGAAAGGCTTGCAAAAGCCCTGAGCTCTGACCTCTTGAATGTTGTATGTAGATCAGAAGTGAAGGCTAAAACAGAGTTACATGTCCTGGTTTAGGCTGAACACCTGCCCTAACATGCACACAGAGCTATAAAGCAAAGACTTCGACACTTACTGTTTCTAGGCCAGAGATGGCAAATTTTTTAGAGACGAGTATCCAAGTTACAATCCAAACCTCACTTATTTATTGTAAAGTGTAGACACTTCAATTAAACCTGACTACTGAGGTCTTAGTTTAGAAAAAACAACTCATACATTAACATCTTTTGTCTTAAAACATAACTGGGTGCCATAGCTTCACCACCACTGTTCTAGGCATTCATGGAAATCTCTAATCATTAATTGCCTATTAAACCTGCCTCACAGAATCTTCAGTGCCCACACATGACAAAGAATACTGACTTTAAAGTTTAGTTTAAGAAACGAATAAACAAACAGATGGGCAACAAACAATAGACAACAACAAACTCTGAGAAGGGAAGACAGTGTGATATCCAGAATCACCACTTTTCAGTATTTAACGTGTCCAGTTTACCACCAAGTCTCAAGACTTGGAAAGAAACAAGAAATTGTGGCCCACACACAAAAGCCCAGAATCCCTGAGAAAGCCTTGACTTAACAAAGACTTCAAATCAACTGTTTCATACATGTTCAAAGAATTGAAGAAAACCATGCCTTAGAACTAAATAAATGTATGAGAAAATATCGAATCAATATCAATAAAATAATAGCAATTATAAATTATAATAAACAAATAGAAGTGTTGAAAAAGTATGACTGAAATGAAAAATAAGGTTATTAAAGGTTTTATATGCTAAATTACACTATTAATGGGTATTAAAAATCTCCAAAATAGAATAAATGTGTTTTTGGCTTATAACACTTTTTTCTATTAATTCAACTGTGTAGAATAATAATCCTAAGTCTGTGCTGATTAGAATACATACAAAGGTATAATTTATATGACAATAACAGTACAAAGGAATAGGAAAGGGTGGAGTTTTCCCACTGAAGGCAATTTGGTATTTTTCTGAACAAGGATTTATAAATTAAGATGTTAGTTGTAATTCCCGAGTTAACTACCAAGAAAATAACTTTAAAAATAGAAAAATATGACAAGGAATTAAAGTAGCATGCCAGAAATATCTTTTTAAAGCAATATAAGATAGTAATAGAATAATAAAAAGAAAAAGGCAAAGAAATGAAATTAGAAATAAATAACAGAGGAAATCAAGAATTCATATGTGGAAATTGTAACATGCTTCTAAGTAAACAGTCAATTGGGAAAGAAATCATAAAGTAAATTAAGAAATGATTTGAGATGAAAAGAAAATATCATAACAAAACTTATGGAATGCAGTGGTAGATGTGCTTTGAAGGATGTTTTTCTAGTAATATTGTAATTTAATGACTTAAAATGTTAAAAATGAAATTCTAAGTAGAACTTATAATTCTTATTCTAATTCCTAGATTTCTATATAAATATATTTGAATTGACATAAAATAAATTTTAGAATTGTGTGTGTTTTATTATATTTTTTAAAGTTACTGCTTATATATAAGGTATGCAAACATGCTCTCCTTGAACTTTTAAAAGACAAATGTTGGCCATAGTTAGCTACGGTGACAGTGTGCTGTGGTCAGCTTCTCATTGCTGTAATAAATACCCAATGCAATTAACTTATAAAGAAAAAGAGTAATTTTGGCTCTAGTCCAAGATTTAATGGCCCTTTGCTTTGAGCCTCTGGTGAGAGCAGTACAACATAGTGGAAACCCATGATGAAGCACTGCTTGCCTCAGAAGTCAGGAAGCAAAAGGCCACATCCCCAGTGACCTAAGGACCTTCTTCCAGGGCCCATCTCTTAAAAGTACATAGCACTTCTCAGTAACACCCTCCTGGGAAGCCAGTCCTTTAAACTATGGCACTTTGGGCAACATTCAGCACCATGCAAACAACTGACTGACTTTTTACTGTACACCTAAAGTTATAGATCAAGTTTTCTGTTGTCATTGTGAATTAATTCTCAGATTTTGAACTCACTTTCTTTTCATATTTTTGTAGGTTAATTGCTATCCCATTAGCAAAAGCACTTGGCATTCAAAAACCAGTTCAAAAAATTATACCAAATGCCATCTTAGAGTACTATTTCAAGAATTCCACAGGGCAACCATTGCAAGTAAGTACAAAGTCTTTGCTTGTGGATTTACCAGTATCCTTTCCTAGTGATTCAGTCATCCATGATTTACCTTGTCTGTGCAAGAAATATCTTCCAGTGACCAGCAAAGGATGTGATTCATTTGGACTTATTTCTTTGCTCTGTTGACAGGCTATATATATAGTATCCCAAGCATAACATCAGATTATAAGTATGTAATATAAAGTAACAAATGTTAATAGATGTTCAACTATGGTGTTGAAAATTACCAATGCCATGATTTAGGCATAAAGGCCACAATTGAATATTTAGTGCTAGGTTTAATTTTTAATGGTAATATATCCAAAGTGTGGTGATAAAGAAAGATTATCATTAGTATAGAGAAGCTCTTATCTGACACTTGTGATGATTGTGGCACCATCAAAATGCATCACACACATAACGAAACTCGTCATGGGTTGATTTTATAAGGAGCATTCTTTTTTTAGTCAAAGACTCAGTATACTCTAAAGTGTGATGTGCCCGATTACATTCCAGTTATAAAATATTCAAGGTAGTCAAAGTACTCTTTACAGTAAAAAGTACCCTTTTAAAACCATTTCCCAATTAGAAAAAATATCCAGGTCACTACCAGTGATTTTCAGTGATCAAGAATAACTATATTTTATAAATTGAAATACCACTACTAATACCGAATAGTTTGTCTGGTGTGAATAAACTGTAATAGCACATAAGATCCTAATGAGATAACTAACATTGTGAAATGGGAAGAAAAGGGCTAAAGGTGTAGGGAAAGTGGGAAGGGTAGAGGAAAGGTAATAAGGGAAAAAATATGAGAAAATGGAAATAAAGTGTTTGTAAATGGGGAGGGGAGGAGGGGGTGAAGGGAGGGCAGGGACAAGGGGAAAAAATGAGAACCAAGACCACCTGTCATGTAAAGGTACAAGACCCCAATAATGAATGTAACTGTACTGTATACCTAAAATGTACCAATAAACTCAAAAAAATGAGAAAAGACCACCTGTCATGTAAAGGTACAAGACCCCAATAATGAATGTAACTGTACTGTATACCTAAAATGTACCAATAAACTCAGCAAAAGAAAAAAAAAGAAATACTACTACCAAAAACAAAATGCTACAAATAAGATGATGTCTTTTGTTTTCAAAGACTAGAGCAATGTGAAAATAATAATAAAAATAATATATTTCATGACAGACTTTGGGGGTAAGGTTAGGACTGTAATCTAAGTGTTATCACTTAGATGTGTAAATGCTGCAGCCATGAGGGCCTCCAGTGAATATTTTGGGGCAAATGGGTTAAATGTTGTAGTGTACTACATATATACACCTCACCAAAAAAAGACTTTAATTTATAATTGTAAAAAATAGTGTCCAGGTAGGGCTAGGGTTCACTCAAACTTATACTTCCATAGTTAAAATGACAGATGAAACAAAACTACTCCAAAACCAGCACACCATCTATGAGGAAGGCATTCTGCTATCACCATCCATTTTAAAAATTAAGAGTATATGCTTACATCATTTCAGGATAGTTAGATTTTTTGAGGGTCCTCAACTTTTTTCTCTGGGATTTGGTTGCAGGTAGTTTGATGATTGTCTCCTTGTTCTGGTGAGCTTCCTGCACTCACAGGTGTATTGAGGTTTGACCACACTGCCCCACATGAGGCAAACAGTGTGGCATGGCCTAGAGAAGCTGCAGCTGTCTCTAACTTGTTCTGCCTTCAGCTTCTGCATAGAAGGTGGCAGCTTCTCGGATGATGGCAGTCTGAAAACCTGGGTTCACATATTTTTGGTTTCTCTGTGCTCTAAATGACTGTAGTCAGTTACCTAAATATTTTTGCTTTCACTAATGGTAATTTCTAAACATCATTTTACAGCCATCAAAAGGGAAAGTTAAATATACATGTTTGTGAAAAATCTGGGCTCTTTCAGGCAGTCTTTATTTTCCTCCTCTGTTTCCCCTTGGGAATAATTGATTCTAGTGACAGCTTCTATAAAATTTGAATGATGTTGTTCCTGTTATTTACTTGCTGTACTTGGTATGTATGACCTAGAACTCATTTAGGTTTTATTGGACATTTAGGTTAATCTAGAAAATTTAGTCCTTGTTAGTTTCCATTATGGAAAGAAAATGGTCAGTGACAGTTAAAGGAAAACCAAGAGTAACCAGAAGAGTTTAACGAGCAGGTAGTCCTCGTGGTTGAGACAAGACAGCAAAGACCCAGCAAGGGGCAACAAGTTAACCTGCAGCACTGAGTGGCTAAATCAAAAGCTGGAACCTGGCACACACTCCTAGAAGAGTCTTTCCCCTCTGCCCCAGTGAATTCTTTATCTGAAAATGGAAAGTTTAAAAATGCATTTCAAAGCCTAGAGCTGTGTTTGTACTCATTTTTCCAACTCAGCTGACAATAGTCTTAATTAACATAGACATACTTTGGATATTTATATTAAGAGAAAAAAATGTAACATCACCCCCAATATGTTAAAAGCTTCACTTATTAAACAAGAAGGTAAAGGAAAATAATTCAGAGCCTTAATTAATTGCTCTGAGATTCCAAAATTGACGAAGTATTTGTGTAGCAAATCAAGATAACAAGTAAAATGCAAGTTGCTTAAAAGTTTCTACAACTTAGGAAAACAGAATATAATATAGGTAGGCAAAGTTCATGACTTAATAGTAATTTCAGATGTAGGAACAAACCAATCTCACAATACCTAACATACATTAATTTGGCCAGTGTTATTCTCATAGTATTTATTTTGGTTTACAGCTGAGATAATAAGAAAAGTTCCTGGGTGGACTAAAAAAAGTTTTGTGACGATTCAAGAAATGAGTATGACCATTGCAAACATATTACAAATCTAATAGTCGAACAGTGCATTAATAATATATATTGATAACACCTTTATTCAAAAAATTAGTATGGGAACTCATGAATACTCTTCTACTGTTGTAAGTTCAATAATAAAAGCAAAAACATTTCATTGTACACAGTATCAGTTCTGTGCTAGTTAGCGCAGAAGGGCATAGTATGGTATTGATAAAGCCCAAAATACCACACACATTAACCTTCAGTGGGAGTTGTGTCCTGTGATTTTGCACAATTTTTTTGTGACTGGGTGTGTACCGCTGGGTGTATGTTACATGTGTACCAGTAACAACTTCAAGATACTTTCGGAGGGAGCTATGAGTCAGACCAAGAGCTCTGGCCAGAAGATCTACTATTCTGCCATTGATCAAATGTAGTAATGGTAGAAGTGACTGTCTAGCCCAGTGGTGCCAAACATATAGCATGCCAGATATTATCATTGAAAGCTCTAAAAGTTTTGCCATCCCTGGTCTAACCTTTTTCTTCAACCAGAGCATAATAAAAATCAATGTAAAATAAGTTCTGAAAGAGAGCTAAAGAAACTGTGGCATTTGAAGACTGACCTAAAGCCAATTCTTACAGCCAGTATGAGCATTCTAGTTGGTTAGATTGAGTCATCTATGAATTCAAACATTTTTAGAGCACATGTATCACCTAGAGCAATTTATTTTACAGGTGAGGCATGAGCATCAAAGAGGCTGGCATCTGTGAATAACTGCCAATTCAGAATCTCAAGAAACAGACCAAACTATGATAGGTGAACCCGTGGCCTATAAAAGAGCAGATTTTAGAGAGGACACTTTACAGTAAAACAATTATAGGAGCTTAGCCCTGCTTTTGTTTTTCTTTCTGTCCCTTTAAATTAAAAGTAATAAGTAGTTTCATAGGGATGTCAAAATGGCAATCAGTCTTCTGCCAATCTTCGGCATGGCTTCTAATGACTTTATGTACTGTTTTCTTATGCCCCTGGGTGACTCCATGAACCATATGAGAGAAGTTATCTGACTGGTCTAAAGGTGTCCAGCCATCAGGCCCATAGGCAAGCCTTGGCCATTGGCATGTTCATTCATAATGGTTTAACTTTACTTTGAGATACTTACCAATATTTTTTAAACCTCATGATTTCACATTAGAATCCTAGGGCTGCATTTTCTCTCTGGGAGTGTCAGACAGAGATTGGTCATAGCTGGCCCTTTGAGACAAGAGATATGATTTTCTGTTTGCTGCATCAGGATAGTTCCCACTGAGTCAGAGAGTCAGTTTTATGTGATGTTATGTTTTACATATTAGAATTAAGGTGATACTGAAATTTTTCTTATACTCACATTAGAAAATGAAAGATCAAGATATCAATGTAATTTTTTAAAAATTGCAGAGCATATTACTTTAAGGAGGTAATAGTGTTACCATAGGTTTAATGTACAAAACATGCCTGTGTCAACATTTCACTGTGAAACAGACCTGATCTGCTTGGTCATTTATCCTTTGTGTCTGGTCCTACTAGCCCTTCAAGGTTGAAACTTTTAGTTAATTCATCATCTATATTGTTTTCAACTTGAAGCCATAGTCCACAGCTCTTCCCCAAAGAAGAAGTAACATCCTTGTCATATTTTGCAATAATTATTTTAATTAAGTATTTCAGATTAGTTTGAAATAGGCTGTACATCTGATTTAATGTGAAAATGGATACCAGTACCTGTTTGAGATTTTCCTGATTTATCTTCTGGAGCTATTATAAATCATGTGAAATAACAGAAAGCACTCTAGTCTACATTCTTACCAGCATTTTGCTATTAATTTTAGGCCTTAGACAAGTCAGTGACATTCTTGGGATTTCAATTTCTCTGTGGGAGAAATTGAGTTGTAGTTGATTGACACTTTGAACTATTATACTCTTAAATAAATTTTAGTTGATTGAGGAAGCTTGCATATGCAGTTTGAACATGTGGGTTTCTATCAACTCATGGAGAACTGAAATTACTCAGTAACCCAGAGAGCTGGGTTACTAATATTCTCTTTATTGCTTGTTCCTTTTCTCATCCCCAGTGCACAAACTCTTGTAACTTTGTCTCACTATCTCTTGATTGCTGGCCCATCTGACTCTGCTCTTTATCACTTAACCATTTGTTTTATATTTTTTCAGACTGATATTTATGGACTGGCAAAGAAATGTAACTTAACAGAACGCCAAGTTGAAAGATGGTTTCGGAGGCGCCGGAATCAAGAGAAGCCTTGTAGGTTGAAGAAATTCCAGGAAGTTTGGTAAGAAGGACTGTCAAAGCTTTTTATAGTGCTACAGTTTCATTTGGAGCAGGGGGCTCATCTCTGATGGAAAACTGACATCAGAGTGCCGGAAGAGTTCAAAGCCAATTTATCATATCCTATAGGGTGTTCCAGGTTTGCTGCTCCTTAACATTCTGTGCTTCCATTCTCTTCTCTTTGAAACAGGCCAACTATTAATTCTTTTAAGGTGATCAGGAGATATTATGTACTTAGCCTGAAGACCAGAAAAGTCATAAGCATGTCTTAGCTGATGTTTGTCTTTTAGCCACTTTATTTAAGCTGTTTCGCTTTATCACTTGTCTGTAGTTGTTTTGATTATAAGAGCAGAGGTTGTCTGAGAACACATTCTAGAATCCACTCACATCAACTCAGAGTGCTAACTGGAGGATCTCTTTCTGTCTGATTTGACTCATGAGCCCTGGTCCTGCCTGAGGGCTGCACAGCTTGTGCATCTTGGATGTCAGTTGGCTTAGCCTGGGGGTCAGAATGGGCTGGGGCATCAATCATCTACTAGAGGAGCTACCTTGAATACAGTCTGGAGGCAGAGTGGGCGTGTGCATTGGGTTTATTTTGATTTTCACTTGAATTCCGCTTTTTTCCCCACTCCTTTATATAAGATCATAGCATCTTGGATCACTCCTTTGCTGATAGAAACTGACATCTTTACAAAACAGGTGGTTGAGGTCATTGCTTTTACTTTATTTCACTCCAGATAAATGGATATTAGTTGCACTGTGTCTGATGTCACACTCTACATACCAATGTAATCCTTCTTTCTGTCTGATTCTTAAGACCCTCATATCCCCTAGTGATTTCCACCAGGTATGTTTGTTATGATGGTGGAATGAATGGCTGTCTAAAGACTCAAATAATCAGATCCTGTGTTTAAACTTTAATGACTACTTTTGGTTTCCCTGTACCTTCCCAAGAACTGTAATCCAACTCTGATGCTGTGAGGCTGCCCTAGGTAAAGAGGGAAAGACCAGTTCTTCAGGTTGTCTCAAAACACACTCTTTTCTCATCACAGGCTTCCTTCCACTGCCATCTTACAGTGGCTCAACGTGTATGGCCTTGCTTATTTTCTCACCAGCTTCTCTCTAATGTTTAACTCTTGAAAGATTGGTTAATAGTATGTTGTTATTGATGCCAGCTTAGCACAAAGGTATCTAAACCATCAAAATGGGGCTGATCTCACATTATGTCCTCCTTTTTCCCTGTTCACATCAATTCATTCTTGCTGACAGTTGATTTTTAAAGTCCCCAGACAAGGAATAAGTCTCTTTCTCTGAGCTGAATGATATCCCAGTGAAGTTCTCTGGCAGATTCTTGTATGTTGTAGTACCTCAGAGATTATAAATAGACATTTAGTCATCCCAACAAGGAGAGACAGTCTAGGAAGATTTAAGAAATGAGAAACCACATAGTCATGTAGTTTAAGCAACTAGCTCTGAGTCACTTAGCTGTCTGAAGACCTGTTGCACCCAGATCTTTTAGCTCCTATTCTGATTCACTTTTAGTTCACCATACTGTGTGTCCCTGCCACCTACTGCCCGCTCTCAGCAAGCAGAGCATTGACTAGCATTGGTGATCAGGCTGTGTCCATGAGCCACTCACTGATCAATGGCCCATGTTCACAGTAGAGAAGGGGATTTCAAGTTGTCCTAACCAATCATTGTGGCAATGCAGAAGTTCATGTTGAATGTCTGTATGTATCACTATGCATGGAATTTGACTTTAAGGGGAAATAAGTATACAAGGCCTGGTCACTGGCCTGAAACCACTGATTGGTGAGTCCAATCTATCCCCCATTAAGCTGAAGCATCTGTTGTTATACTCCAGGTGCCTTGGATCAGCAGGGCATGATCATACTTAGATATGTAGCAGGATTTCACAGGAGATGGGTCAGCAGGACTGCAGACTTAGAGAAAGGCTTTTCAGAGGAGATGAGACATCAGCTGGACCTTGAAGAATGGTCAGGCTTCCATAGGAAAGGAAAGTAGGATTTGGGGTTGGCTTTTTGAAGTAAAGCAGGAAATTATGCAATATATTCACAAGTAAAATTTAAGCTTTGTTTTTTTCTTTAGCCATGTTACAAATTTCTTCTAATTGAGGTAAAGTTATTATGGCCTATATAAACAGACAGAAAATGCCAAGCTGTTTTATTGTATAGGGACTATGCTTTATTCTGTTCATCTGTGGGACATGTCTTAGAAATCGTAGCTCAGGGTACATAGTCACAGGCATTTTAGACACCATAGGAAACATTTTCTGACACCATCTTCTTGAGAATTACTCCAATGGGCAGAAAATCCTGCTGAAAAAATTCAAAATGTCCAGAATACTCATATGGCAGTTGCTGGGTTTCTTGAACTCAGTGTATGGTTTCTTGGTTACTTTCTTTAATGATGATCCCTATGCTGTGTTCATAATATTTAAGATTTCAGCCCATAGCAACTCCTTTAGTTAAAAAAAAATCATTCACTATTAGGTGGCCACATTTCTTTGTAAAATAAGCATTTCCATCTCGCAAGGGAGATATTTCACCCTCAAAGGGGGAGAGGATCAAGAGATAGAGGGTGAGAGAGGGAGGGAAGGGATAAAGAATGATAAAAAAAAAGGAATTGGGATGTGTTATGTACCTGTACCAAGGCTACATAAGGAATGTAAACATTATGTTCTACAAACAGGTTATGTACAAAGGGAAAAAAAAGGAAAGGGACCAAAAGATGGTTGGAGTAGGGAGGGAGGGAAGGAAGAGGTGATAAAAAAATTAATAAGATTAAGATGTGTTAAATGAATAAAGATTAAGATGTGTTATGTACATGTACCAACTCCACACAATGAATGTAAATGTATGTACTACACACATGTACTTTTAACTAAAAGTTTAAAAAAGCCATAGTCCACAAGAAAAAGAAGAAGAAAAAAAAAAAGTACTTCCTAGCAGGGTGTGTAGGCAGAACTTCCCAGTGCAAGAGGGAGGCTGTTTTTGCCTGCATCCTAAGTCCAGCCCTTGAATAATACCAACTGATGGATCCAATGGATAGATTTTAGGCTTTTGTGTATGATGAGCAAGAATTGAAAGTGTACAGTCAATGGCAAAAGAAAAAGTAGATGAATTTATTGAAGATAATGGGAAGATAATACCATTTTATATATATACATACTCTATATATA